CCCTGTTCTTTCCCCTCTCCCTGTCCTGCTTCTCTCCCCAACTGTTCCCAAATCTACATTGATTTCTATCTCTGTCCCTCTGCCTCGCTTCCTCGTAGCGATAGATTTATCACAACAAACAGACACTATTGATTGCAAAGTGCTGAGATACATTATGTTGGTTTCCACGATGATTGCGCCATATTTAGCACTTTGCCCCAAAATATCCCTTGATAAATCAACCCTTCGTTTCTACGTAACTCACTCAGGCTATAAATGGCCTGCGTCGTGTGGAAGATTAAAACTGCTACATTTGAATGTGTACGAATGTGATATGTGTGACACGTTCCATCAAAGACTATCATTCATCGATGTCAATCCCCCTCCCATTCAGCCTTACTGTATCTCGCTATAGAATGTTCTCCTTAGCTCTGTCCTCAGCTCCGTATTTAATCTCCATTTACAGATTCACAATTCGGATTCACCCAGAGCACAATCAATTCAAACTTTTTGCTAATATTTTTGCTAATATGTCAAATGTGTTGTTTATGGGCTTAGATTGTGTTTTTTTCTGTTAACTTTGCTTAGAAAGCTTGACATAATTATTGATGACAGACTGTTAACTGTATCCCTTTAATCTTATCCATTCTCACTGAGAGTGGTTTGGAGCAATTGTAGTTCAGCAAGTAAAGTATTTCTACCTATATTCTAAAATATACCGAAGGACAGCACAGTTCCATAGCTACACACAATGCTGAGGTCTGTATCATATATCACATTGATCAGATTGTTTCTGCATTGAAATTCAACACAGAGGCTTCTTGTCTCTATACGTCACCGCCTGGTAAAAAGGGAGAGGCTATGACTGGAACTTTAATCTATTTCTTCTAGACAAGTCTTCTCCTTATTGGAACACTATAACGTTAGTAATACAAATATGTATTCCTAATGCTATAGAGCCCTAGTAACCTAAATGGTGACTAGGGCCCCGTTCCGTGGCAAATAAATAGGGCCCAAACCCGCCCATAGGAAAGCATTACTCAGTGCTTTCCTATGGGGATCTTTTTTGACACTGGACTCCGTGAGCACGTCCAGAGTCAAATAAGTGCAATTTACTCAATGTAAATCGCGGACGTGCCTCTAGTGGCTGTCAGGGAGACAGCCACTAGAGGCTGGATTAACCCTGCAGTGTAAACATAGCAGTTTCTCTGAAACATGTTTTCAGCTGCAGGGTTAAAACTAGAGGAACCTGGGACCCAGACCACTTCATTAAGCTGAAGTAGTCTGGGTGCCTATTATGATCCTTTAAAGTCAACCTTCTAATGATTCCCCCACTTGTGTCTAAATTTCCTTCAGAGAGAGCTGGGCCGTGAGCTGGCTCATTTGCTGAGATTATATTGATGCTCTGATCCTACAGGTCTATTGGAAGGAGACATAAGCCATCAATGATGCTGGGGGCGAGGGTCTGTACTACCAGTTTCCCCACCCAGGGTAATATGTATCTCTGATATAAGATAAGGAAGCTGCCCCCTGGCTTCCAGTAATGGTATTAAGCAGAAGGAATGACAAGATATGGCAAAATGCCCATGTTCTTTTTAATTCTTTTACATAATCATAATATTCTGTGGCCTCAGTTTAAAGGAACACTATAGTGTCAGGAACACAAACATGTATTCCTGACACTACAGAAGTAAAATCAATGTTTAGGTGTCTTGCCCCCCATGGCTCGCTTTGAAAAGGTGATTTTACTCACTTTTTCAAACATGCCTTGTCGGTCTTGTCAAAGCTGGTCCTGCCTCTGTAGGAAAGCATTAGGAGGTGATCGCACATGTGCAGCAAAGCACTGCAGTGCACCAATCAACATCTCCTCGCGGAGATGCATTGAACCAATGAATCTCTATGAGGAGCGTTCATGCAGAGCGTGGAGATGCTGAACTCCAGTGCTGCACAGAGTGTTTTTGAAGAATTCTTGGTGCTCACTGCTTTGAGCATGGCGGGGGCATAGGGCATCATATAAAAAGGCTGGGAACATTTAGCTGGAGGCTATTACCCCCTGTAACCTTTACTGTAAGCCAAAGTGAAGCGTGAGCAGGAAATGATCACCTCGAAGAGGGCACCTGGATCAGACGAGTCTCAGGAACGTATCGGTTGATGTAAATCATAATGAACAGAAACAGGAGATTAATATTTTCAGAGATGCCCCTGGCAACACACTATGATTTATTTATTAAACACTGAACAGGGTTGGAAAAATAACATTTTACAATTCACAAACATTTGCTGATTAGTAAGTATCTTTGTGTTTGAAATATTATTTTAGACATTTGATATCCGGTTTGGTGGTAACTCACGCACTATATGTTTTATGAACTGATGAATGGCCGTCTTTCAGCCTGGCACCGTCTGTGTGTTTAAGGAGTGCTTGCTTGTACATCATCGGGCAGGCTGTTTGTAGAATAACCCAACTCACCTTATCAGACTATATATAAATATATATTTAAATCAGTTATTCAATAAAAGCCTTTCAACTAATAGTTTATTTAATGTTTCTAAAAGCTATGGTGATAACCAACTAATTTGAATATGTCTGTCTTTCTCATCTTTCTTAAACAGTGAAACACCATCATGACTTGGGCGAATTGTGCCCCTTTCTAATCCTTCTCATGAGATTTCCTTGGGGGTTGGTATTCCCATCTCTCCTGCTTCCTACATCCATATTCTAGTGTAAATTGAGCAAGACTTGGCAGAGGGTGATGTGCATTACAGTCCACACCGTATTCATTGCAGGCATCATCTTCCCTTAAGTTCCCAACCTGAACCCCAAGTATCCCTAAACGTAACCCCCAGAATCCTGGTGCAGTGATTTCAGGTTAAAGCACAGGGAATACTCATTGAACCTCGCACAATTCCTGAATGATTTAAAGGAGTGATCTAGACTGCACCGTGAGAAAATTTGATTCGGACAAACCATTTTCCCGGAAAGCAGAACGTTTTTCTGGACACCTAAATTCACGCTGTATGTTGGTTTGGCTCTGCAGAATTTCAGTACAGAAAACCTGATTGGGAAATGAATCAGATGAACTAAAAGGGCTTTAGAACGTGCTAATCAGTATACAGCTAAATATGATATAACACTATGTGTTCACATATCAAGGGAGAAGTAATCAATAGAGGAAAGAAGAGGAGTAACAGTAATCACAAAATCTATATTTACATATTGATATATTTCATATATTTATTAAATATTTAATATAGAAATATATATATTTCTACTGTTCCTCTTTTTTTCCCTGTATTGTTTACGTTGGGACTGAAACAAATGACCAAGTCAGCGTGTAGTAACGTGTAGCATTATAAATGACATGACTGCTGACCCATATTCCATCCCCACCGTTGCCCCCAAATAATACACTGGACACCTTTTAGTGGATAAGGGCAACGGCCACAGCTTTATTAAACAGTAAACTTAATTGTTAATTCCTGCCAGCTGTTGGGTGAGGACCCAACAGGCAGTTCACCTCCTTTGTTGTCCATGAGCCCAACACAGCCGTTGCTAGCCATCAGCCTTGCGCCGACTGTCGTCTCCCCAATGTGACCTTGCGTCATAGTCCTTTCCTTTTCGATTCCGCTGTCCAGGGAAAACCGCCAGCTGTGACAATGAGAAAACAACACGAAAAAAAACCCACCAACACCACCAACAAACAAAAAACCAGGGAGGGAGGGTGGGAAATTCAACCAGGGTAATGACAGTCTCCTTCTGACTGGTAAGTCTCCTCCCCTGTTACCCCCTTATAAATCCTTCCATCTTTGCAACATTGTTGCTACCATTGTACCATCCCACTATCCTGGGCAGCAGTCATGCTCCCCCTTCCTTATTCTGTCCAGGGGGACACTTTTTCAGGCCCACACTCTCTATCATGTCAACATGTTACAGAGAATCGTCATTGAGAATGAATCTTGATTAGGGTTTGGCAATTACTTCCTGCCTCGCTCTTTGCCAGACTGTCGAGCCGTTAGTAAATTAATAAGAGCTAAGAGTTGGGGTGTCAGGGTGAAAGGGTCACCTTTATGTTTTAAATTACCATACTTAACATAGGGTACACCTAATATACAGCGATGAGCCCTCTCATGTAATTACTGGATCTGTGCTTCTCGTCTCCTCTAATTACTAATCAACAAACGAGTAGGAGAGGGTGCGATGTAATGTCCCCCCAATCTAGGTGAATGACAATGTCCGGATTATTTAATGAACACAGCGGGACAGTGCATTGCCGGAGATAAAGGGATGTGGAAATAGACATTTAAATAGATATAATAATAGCCACATGCGACCTACATAATGCCAGCTTCATTCATTTCTCTATATTCCGGATTATTAAAGTTTAGGATTTGTTTTTATTAATATGAATATATTTTTGGAAGTTTTATTCTTCTATTGATTCTGGAACGCGCTTGTTGCCCGTAGCAACTAATGTACTATAACTGCGATAGGAATACAAACATTTTATTTTGCGCATTTTGGGTTCATTCAGTTTTAACCCTAATTTGGACCTGTGCCTTGTTAATAATTAGAATGGTGTTTTTTACTCCTGATCTTGGGTTTGTGTGTTATTATTGATTTTGGATTTATGTATTATTACTCCTGATCCTAAGTCTGCGCGTTTTATTATTATTATTGTTAGTGCCTGTGTCAGGGGTCTCAGGGACCTTTTCCATTCCAGTGTGACCTTGGATAAGTCCAGGAAAAGGTAAGAGTGTGTTCCTCAAACCGGAGAGGTGACTTAGTGCGGACAGCTGCCATGAAGGCCGTCCGGTCTGTGCCTAGTTGGAATCGGAGGATTACGTCTCTGCTTGGCCAGCATGCGTCAGTGGAAGGTCCGGCAATCCAGCCAAGTTGATGGATTTTGCCTATTTAGGTGAGAACAGCTAAAAGTTCCCAACTAAACAGGAAAAAGTGTGGGAACTCTGCTGCTATGATGGTGTCAGGTAGGCCGCAGATTTTAATATATTTCCAGCGCTGCTTATCCTCTAAAACCGTAATGTGTTCCTGGTTTTGCTTTTGTGAATGCTGTATGGTAGATAATTGCTGCTCGAGAGCGGTAATGCGACTGGCTTTGGAGTTGAGTGAGGAGTTCTGCCTCCGGTGTCACTTCATGCTCTGCTTCCACTGGTAGGGATTCCTCGCTGGACGTGCGGGAGATTCCATTCAACAGAGATACCATAAAAGGTCCCTGCAAGGATTGCGGCCTCCCTAGCAAATTGCCTATATCGGCTGTCATCTGTGGATGATCAGGCTTATACTTCTTGCTTCGGCGCCCCATATCCACAGGTAGGTATCAGTGAGTGCCAATAAAACTTGAATTTCTCTGCATTTTCAGCTATATTTTTGGACTCTCACTTGGAGCTCTGGCAATGTGCAACCAGACAGTTTGGTTGCTAGCTCCGTCCCCCGGTCTGTGGGTTACTACACATGATTTTGGCTCCACATTAGACATGCAATCTGTTTTGTTCCAAATTAATAGAAATAAAGAATGAATTTGAAATGAAACAAATCGATTTGTTTCGGATCTATCATTTTGATCTTGGTATGTGGAATTTATATGTCCCGACACCAGAGACGTGTAGTTCCGTGTGCCAGGCGAGCAGTTTTTATATTATTTTATCACAGGGCTGCTGCTGTAGGAGGACTGGCTACGGGCCATAATAGACCACCAGAGATGGGGAGGTTCGAGGAGTTACTTGTGCTGCACAGCTGGGATACAACATAACATCATATCCCAGTGGCCGGACTTTGTGAAATGGTGCATCTGATAAGGCAGGCTTCCCCAAACTCCAGCCCTAAATATGTGAATAATTAGCTCTGTGTGTTTGCCCACGTTTACTTAAAAAACAAAAAATTGTGTCTCACTGACATTGATATAATTTTGTTTTTAGATTGAGTGAGAATTCTACTGGTAATTTTTTGTGTTTTGTTTGTAACTCTTGGTAGAATGGATTTGCTTGAATCTGGCACATATTCTCTACTTACTTCCGTACTTTTTTGTTTATTATATTTTTTGATAAATTTGTCAAAGACATTAGAAATCTGAGCTTTTCTCAAGTGACTAACCAGGTATTAAGCCTCAGGACCGCTTATCCTCTCGGTGTGTATCTTTTTTATATTATTGGGAAGTGCATTACTCTGTTTTATTTTTTAACCCAAACATTATATTTTAATGACTTGCATTATGGTTTTTCAACATTTCTGATCTCCAACGACATCATCCAACCTTGAGATGTCTTTACACAGTTAGCAGCTTCTTTATTGGGTTACTTTATAATAGATTTATAGTTTAATATGTTGCCCTATGCCCCCTGCATTGAGGGAAAATAATATAAAAAAATTTATAGGAAGGGTTACTCTTAAAACAGTTATTTGCTGGAGTGACCCTTTAATTACAATAATATCAGAGTTAGTCACTCTCAATACATTTCCAGTAAAGTAGCACATTTTATTTAGGTTTTTATTTTTTTTATTTCACGGTTATGTTTTAATAGTGATATCAGTGAGTGCCAGGATCAAGTGATGTCATCGTCTTACATCACAGGCTGATGGGTAACAGCTGTTACACAGAGAGCCTACTGCTCTCGCATCGCGTAATAAGGGCTCTGAAATGGGCCACAACTCAAAATCTATAATTCTATTCTAAAAATCTATATATGAATCAGCTGCCTCATTTAAAATACAGTAAGTGAGTTGAAATGTCCTAGTTTCCTATTTTGCGGAATGGAACAATAGGACCTATTCACATTTATCTGGGCTGTTTAGTTAATGCAGAGAGTGATGGTAACATTGTGTCCGTCCTGTGTAACCCTCGGGCACAGTAATATTGGTGTGTACTTACTTTGTAGATTTGTAGAATCTGGCTTTCTCCGTCTGCGGGGCCTGTCTGTAATATTGCTGGATGTTCTTGTGAATACTGCTAGATTTATTGAACGAACGCTCATAGACTTCAGATTCTCAGAACTGGACTTTAATGACATAAAACTACGAGGAGATCTGTCTATCCTCTGGAAAATACACCATTCACTAAAGCATTGAGAGTCACCTATATCGTCTGTAACCTATTTTCGTGTCTGTTTTATTTTAACATTTATATTAAAGAATCCAATTCAGTTCAGGCACAGCCAGGGCATACAGAGCATCGGAGGAGGGGAAACTGAAATCTGGTTTAATTTATTTTCTCTTTGTGTTGGCTGACAGATATAAAACAATGATTGACAGGGAGCTAAGGTGCAGGCGCCCAGTTGCAGGATGAAGAGGGGTGGATTTCAACATTCTTGTAGTTTGTGGTTTCACATTTCAGCTTCATTTAACAGCAATCTATCCATCTGTCTGTCTGTCTATCTATTGCTCTGTCCGTCCTATCTCCCTCTCTCTCTCTCTGTCTGTCTGTCTGTCTATCTATCTATCTCTGACAGTGCTAATAAAGATATGGCCATGGTGCAAGACATTTTTTGGGCCCCCTCTAGCACAAGGCTGGCCAATAGGTAGATCCCCATCTGTAGTATGGGTCCTTACGATGCTATGCCAGCTGGGGATCTACCATCGCCCTTCCTTGTAGGGTTGTATTTGTGAGCAGTCTTTGTGTGTTTGAATGTAAGCATGTTTTTTTATAGAGTATATGTGTGTGAATGTAGAGGTATATGTGTATGTACATTGGAATGGAGTGGTGTACTCGTGGGAAAGAGTGTATTGATGGGCATTCTTTTTATGTTTATCTTGTGAGTGTAACATAATAAAGCATATGTTTGCTATATATACAGTGTTGCGCTATATCTTTGCTTCTGTTTCCTTTTATAGGTGTCTTCCATCACTTGACAAGGGACCAGCATCACATTGATGAGCCTGAATTTTCAGTTATCTTGTGAGTGTAACCTTGAAAATCTACTCTTGCTGGTGTCCATATCACTCTATGAGTTTCTTTTCTTCCTTTGTAGATATTTTTCAGTTGTCTTCTTAGTATTTTGAGGTTATACAGGAATCCTATATTATATCTACAAACTCTTTATGAAAAGGGTAATTACCATGTCATTCATGGTTACAGAAGCACTGCACTTTTAAGTGATTATAAGAGTTTCTTGAATTACTTGTGTGAAGTGCTTGCGTTTGGATGCAGCGGTGAGTTTGTACGTAATGTTTGTATTTGATTGCAGGGGTATGTTTGTGTGTAGTGTTGGCTTTAAATACGGGTGTAGGTTTGTGTGCAATATTGGTGTTTGAATGTAGAGGTGTGTTTGTATGTAGCAGTGGCGTACACACGACATACACACATATAAACACACTGACACTCACACATTCAGATAAACACTGACACATACACACACCCTGACACAAACACCCCAGATACACACACTGACACATACATGTTTACACACAGATAAACACATTGACAAACACACATGATGTACAGATACACACACTCACACCCCTTGATACACAGATACACATACACACATATATGGGATTCTGCTGATGGCCTCTCCTTCCCTTCTGAGCAGTGCTCCCTATATAAGCTGGGAGGAAGTGACAGGCTGCCTCTTCCTCCCAGGCAGCTGATGAAACAGGTGTTGCTGAATAGGGGCATGGTGTGGTGCCACTGCCCTTTAACAGCCTGAATGGGCCCTTGTGTGTTAATATTTACCAGGTAGCCCTAAGTGCATGGGCCACCCAATAGGCTCCCTTGAGCATGTGGGCCCCTGGTGCTACCAGCCTGCTGCACAGGAGTAAGTTCCGCCTTTGCTATCTATCTATCTTAGAGAGACAAAAAGACACCCGGACCACTTCATCTCAGTGAAAGCGCAGTGCCCATGGTATTTTAACCTTGTAGTCTAAAGCATTTCCAATTACTAGATACAGCAATATTTTGTTGCAGGGCTGAACTCTTCTCTTGTGGCTGTCTTCCTTACAGCCACTAGAGGTGCTATCGCACTCATAACCAAGTTCGATAAGAAGGCAATGAAGTAACACCTGCCTGATGATGTCACAGAAGGAGGCGCGGGTGAAGCATTGAGTGTCAACATTGCAAAAAAAGGGAAAACAACTATTTTTTTCTTTTTTTATTAAAAAAATGTAAGTTGGGGGGGGGGGGAAGCTAATCTAAATAGTGTGGAGACACTGACTGTGGCATTAGGATGTGTTAGGAATAAAACGCTAGTGTTCCTTTAACAAACACGCCTTAAAAATACCATGTTTTTGTTTCTCGACCGATAACATTATACATACATATGTTATCTCCATGATTTTCATTTTTAACCACATAATGATTCAAATTGACAAAAAATAGCTTTTTGCACCAAATAGGGTTACGGTTTGGTGACACACCATACCATCCTTTAGATGTGTGTATATTTTTAAAGGGCCGTAAATAGATAGATTTCACTGAACCTCCTTGTTTTAGGAAATTTGCAACTTATGTTCTTGAAACGTTCTTAGTTTTTATCAACTCATTACCTGAAATGCAAAGTGTTAAGTAGCCCTTTCAGTGTTTGAGAGCAGCTTGCTAGGGATTCTTGTGGTCTTGAGTGGCTATTGTCAGCGACAAGTGACACATTCATCAAGCGTATGGTAATTACAGTAAGAATAATGCTGTTCAATGACCACTACACGCTGCTCCAGTGTTCAGATGCAATTACTTCTCTCTAGGATTCTAGTCTCTCTCTCAGCTTAATGTGCAGGTTCAGGATTGGACGATCACACCAGACGACGAGGCAGACTGTCAGTCAAACCAAGAATTTAACAATTTCCTGGAAATGCTAAGAATAGATGGGGTCAAAACCAATTTACTGCTCCATCCTTGCCATTTAGTGCCTAAAAAGGAAAACATTTGGGGAGTTTATTTATAGCCTTTCCAAATTTTTAAAGTCACTGTGAGGGATATAAAGTATACATGTAAGTGGGTAGGTTTTTTAAAAAAAAATTATGTTGTGGTCGACCAGTGACTATTTATACATATTATGGGAGTATATTGGGTTACAGGGAAAATTAACAAAGCGAAGGATTAAGGGGTAGCATGTAGTTATGGGGAACCTGTCGAAGTATTTGCAGAATGTAAATCCTATTAGTCATTGACAGAATTCTCGAGGTATGTGCTTAAACCTTTCAGTATCAGAGAGGTGAATAAACATGGGATTTAGACTTGTGTGTTGCAAAGATGTCTCTGTCACGGGATCCTGGAGACGCTTGCTGGCTAGCCTCCTGCCCAAGGACTATGGGCCCTGTAACTAACCTCTAAAATACTTGGATTGTGTGAACCAAGCAAACTGACGAACTGCTTGTTAA